TGTGTGTGTGTGTGTGTGTGTGTGTGTGTCTGTGTGTGTGTGTCTGTGTGTGTGGGGGGGGGGTCAGATTTCCCTTTGGCTGCTCCCGTACACGCTCTCGTCACTGTAGGCGATGTAGAGGAAAAAGTCCTCCTCGTGGTGCTCCTGGGGAAGACGACAGGATGGTTAGGACAGTGTGGGAGAGAAGCAGTGAAGCTGTGCAGCTTTGTTGTTAGGGCTGCTAAATCAAATTTATTTTAGCCTTTTATTTATCATGTCATTCCCTCAAACATACACAGACTGCTGCTTTGACTCAACGTTTGAGAAATCCTTGAATCTCCTGTGGTAGCCATGTGGCACTGCCTAAATGCTTGTTGGTACAAAGGTCCGCCTATTTACACAAAGCTCCTCCCTGGAGCTCAGTCTGCAGCTGAGCTCCCACCCCTCCCCTACACAGCTCCACCAGATTTACAAAACATTTTAAAAATGAAGGATGTTCATGATTTCATTGCAAAACAAAGCTTCATAATGATCAGTATGGCTTATTCACAAAAAAGTTAAATATTCACATTTATATATGAGAGRATGACTGGGAGATACACTGCTCAAAAAAATAAAGGGAACACTCAAATAACACATCCTAGATCTGAATGAAGGAAATATTCTCATTGAATACTTTGTTCTGTACAAAGCTGAATGTACTGACAGCATGTGGAATTGTTTGTCAATCAGTGTTGCTTTCTAAATGGTCAGTTTGATTTCAAAAAAAGTTTGATTTGCTCAGAGTTAGATTGTGTTGCATAAATGTTCCCTTTATTTTTTTGAGCAGTGTATATTACAGGGCTGAAACGACTCTGTACTCACTCTGGTTCTTTAGAAAATGTACTTAAGGTTCAACTGTATCCTGAGTTGCCATAAAAAAAAAAAAAAAAAAAAAAAAAAAAAACAAAAAGAAAAAAAACAGATGTTGCTTCTTTTTTTTTAATTTAACAAAATACAACGCTCCTACAAAACGAGCTGAAGTGGGAATATTGGAAATGGTAGGAGGTTCTTAAAGAGACAGGCTAATTTCAACACGTTTAGACAAACTATAATGTAAAGTCAAATTTATTTTTGATTTTTACAGGGTTTTAACAACAGAAAGTAACAGTTAGTTGATTGTGGTATAGAATAGGGATGTCCTGATCAGATTCTCAGTATTGGTGGCAGATATGGACATTTTTTGAAAATCGGGTAGAATCGGATTTAGTCATGTGATCGGGCCGATCCAGTTTTCAGAATCATCCTGCTTTACAGCTGCCGTTAAGAAGTCAAGACGCACACAAGTATGTAACCATGTCCACAGTGTGGGAACACTTTTCAATGGAAAAAAATGATGCTGAAACTGCAKCTTGCAAAATCTGCAAACTGGATGTTTCTCGTGGTGGGAAGAGCAGGACTCACTTGTGGTTCCCAACTCTGGTCCTCAACTATCCAGCATGTTTKACWTGTTTCCCTGCTCTTCAGCAGGTCTTCAGAAGATTGTTAATCACACATTCACTCAAACCAGAGAAACCTCGACAAATCACTGCTTTAGATGTTTACAAACACCTCAAGAGCTTCTCTGAGCTTGATGAAACATTTTCAAAATATAATATTGATTCAGTTTTATTTTTTTAGTRTTGCCTCTGGAAGCCATTGATTCTTTGCCATTTATTTGTAAATGATAAATCAGATAACATGTATTAAAGCAGTGATTCTCAATCCTGGTCCTCAAGGACTCCTTTCCTGCATGTTTAGATGTTTCCCTGATTTGACACATCTGGTTTGAATGAATGAGAGATTAACAATCTTCTGAAGACCTGCTGAAGAGCAGGGAAACAAGTCAAACATGCTGGATAGCTGAGGACCAGGATTAGGAACCACTGTGTTATCAGATCGGTATTGGAAAGACTAATCATTAAAAAAAATCGGATTGTATCGGGAGCCAAAAAATCTGGATCGGAACATCGCTAGTATAGAAYTGAAATATGTGCCTGGAAAATAATACCCCCTTTRGTGACAAGTCTGAACTTAGGACCCTTACCTGGTACAACAGACCCATGGTGGCTGAGGTGGGTGGAATGACGTTGTTTACGAAGAAGAAGAGCGCATCTTCGGCTCGCAAGTGGATTCTTTTCCGAATTAGGAAGTAAAACTGACCCACTGTGGTTGGAGAAAGATTGTTTAGTTGGAGAAATTATTAGACTTATAAAACACAAACAAACAAACTGCAACAAATACCTGTCAAATCAGAGGGGACAAGATATTTCTTCTTGTCCAGATCTCCTATTCTTGCTTTAGGAGCTTTCTCCACAATTACCTACAAGAGAAAAGAAAAACAAAATGTTTTTAAATCAAATCTATGAATTATTTCAGTGTATGTGTTTGAGTGAGACTCTACGACTGTACGTCTCTCAGGAACAAAAGGATCTGTGAAAGTACAAATCTGTCAGGACAGGTTTGAAATAAAAATGTTCAAAAAGTAAATTTTGAAACTCAAATAAGTGACGGTCAGAAATAACATGGTTTGATCAAAACACTTGTGCTTAGTGAGGAAAATGTAAAGAGAACAAATAAACTATTTCAGGCCCATTTTCCTCTAAAAATAGGACTAAAAAGGAGTATCTACGCAAAAAAAGGCTAACAGGATCTGATCCTTTCAGAGCCTGAGTGATTCATCAGAGCAGAAATCCTCAACAAGAAACTCAACAAAATTAAATTAAATTAAAAATAATAATAATGAAAACCTGACAACAAACAGCCAAAACAAGCAATGATTTGCTTAAAACTGTGTATAATTACAGGCCAAATATTCCTAGGAAAAAAAAAAAACAAGTTTCATCTTAAGATCATCTTATAATCAAAAAAATATATGAAATATATTTTTTAAATAGGTTACAAAGCTGTTACACTCGTGTTGAGAACGACTCTCAGCTACCACCAGACCAAATTTTAGCTCAACATCTGTAAATATGACTGAATTATATGTATGTACGTGTCAGTTAATGTGGATTAGCTGTGKCAGCCATTTTGAACTGGGTTAGCTCCAGAAGCTAATCAGACCTGAACGTACATCGAAATATTGTCTCCTGAAAGTTTCATTCAAATCCACCCACCGGTTCATGAGATACTTTGTGAAAAGAGTTACTGTTGACTGCAAATCTTGATCTTGCGCAATCTGTTGGCACTCAGTATGTGTGGACCAGCCTGAACAACCACTGGACTGAGCTGCAGCAGTTTGTGTTTATAAAGGTCAGTTTGAAGGAGTTTGCAAACAGACATGGACCAAAAAATAAAAACAACCCAATTCTGAACTTTCAGCAGCGGTTGGTAAAAACGGAAAACTCAAAGTTTAGTCTGACAGGCAGCCGAATGTACGTAAACCCAGCTAAGCAATAACATAAACGCTGTGTGCAACATTAGACTGGTTCATTTCTAACAGCTGCGGGTCACTTCAGCTATTTCTTTCACATGCATGTTTATCTTCAATATTTAGTAACAATATGCCTCCTTAAGTTACCCCAGCTCTAATCTGAATCTAAGCCTTATTTAAATGTTTGCTATGGTTTTTCAATCCTCATTGCTAATCATTCCTTAATTTATTACCTTTACCCTGGGATGGCCATCAAATTTAGCCAACAAGTACATAGTTTAGTTTTTATAAAAGCAGGGGCACTTATTTCATTTATGTCAGAAAAAAAGACCAATCCAAAATGGAGCAGGAAGAAATAACAAACGTAATAAATCCTAATCCAAAGTATTTCCTTTGAAAAGGTCTTAAGAAATTTACATTGAAAAAGGAACAAGAAATAAAATTTAGAACATATATGCTCACTGAAAATAACACCAACATCCTCTTATTGGGTCAGKGTTTGAGTTGAAGATGACTCTCAGCTAACTGCCATGCATAATTTTAGCTTAGCGTCTAGGCCTGTCACAATAACAAATTTTGCTGGGCGATTAATTGTTTCAAAAATTATTGCGATAAGCGATAATATCACCTGGTGACCATTTTACAACTAATAATTATAAAAACGTAATATGTAAGTGTAATAAATCAATAAACTTTGATTTTTAAATCTCTCTCTCCCTCTCTCTCAAACGTTTCTTTAGTTTGTTATTGCTACCAGCTCTCACGCTAACGCGACTGTTTACTCCTCCCACACTAAGAAAACAGGAGGGGAGGAGTCAGCTGAGCCCCTGTGTAGAGGAGCAGAAAGGGAGAGAGAAGAAGTGAACGAACAAGCAGGAAAATGAAACTTATCATCCTCATTTTTTTTACCGACCTCAAACTAATTTATTGTGCATCGCGACAGGCCTATTAGAGTCAGTAAAAATGACAGTGTTACAGTAATTTAGCTGTGGCGGCCATCTTGAATTAGGTTGACTCTGAAAAGTTATTCGGCAGCAGATCACGAGATATTTTGCTAACAGACAGAGTTAATGGCAAAGATCTTGCGCAATCACTTTTTGCTTGTTGGCAAACACTTTCAGCTACTACCACACCAAAATCTAGCTGAAAAACAAAGTTTTAGCCACTTTTGTGTGATCTAAAAACAGCATGTTGTGTTGGCTATTTTGAACCAGGATGACTCCAAAAGTTGACGAGTTCTAGATTAACTTTAAACGTTTCACTGGAATATTTGAGATATTTTGCTAACAAAGAGTTGACTACAAATTAAGTTTACTGCACAATCTGTTTGGTGAGTTGGCAAGCACTTTCAGCTATATCATCACAAGGCTTTAGCCACTTTTGGTGACTTTTCATTGAAATCCTTCCAGTGGTTGATGAGACATTTAATGAGCAGACACACGCCTCTCTCTGATAACAGTTTGATTCTCAGTGGTTTAATGCAGCCTCCAGGTGTGTTCTCTGACAGCAGATCGTAAATAAAGGTGGATGAACAGACATGAAGCTTTGACCCACACAGCCTCGTTGGGTCAGAGCAACAGAAAGAATGAGTCAGAGCAGCTTATACCCAAAAAACCTGAATGGCGTAAACAACTAGCTTGTTTGTTTACAATGAATATTTTAAGGTGTGCCGCTGTTTGCGTTCAAATATACAACCCAAAACCAAGCAGGCTGCCAGGAATATTACTGCCTTTAAGCATTGTAGGCTTTAAATAAACCCAAACCCTGATTAATGACACCAACTTATAGTGATTACCTGGCCTGTTCAATGCGGCCGCAGGTCCTGACTAACCTCTGTCGTCGTTAGCCAACAATGTTTACCATCGTGGCAGGCGACAAGAATAACCACAGCGATTTGGCTTTAGTTCAGAATTATCACATTTGTTCAGCATAATTACTTTACTTAATTTCGTAAACATACACGAAACAAAACTAGCCTTTTAAAAAAAAGGCTCTTGATTGGAAATCCCGCTAGCCCATGCTAGCAGCTAGCTACACTGAGAGCTACTTACAGGAACCCTGTCCGGATACTTCTTCCTTATTTTCTCGCCCTCGGACCTCCTCTTCTCGAATGGATGCTCCTCTTTGTACTGAAACTTCATCGTTAAAAGGGATGACAGACGACGAGTCGGCCACTCCTGAGATTCGTAGGGCAGATGTGCGCTCAAGGAACGACTGAAAACCCGCTGACAAACACGGGCGAYGTTAGCTAGCTTTAGCTCGCTACACAGCTGTTTTTCCTAGTGCGATTGTGGCGGAGGGATACTACGACGAACACGACGCGGTCTAGTTCGTAAAGCGTAACCCGACTTCTTTCCTATAAAACAAAGTTAGATTTCATATTATTTACCCTAATTTATTTTAAATAAATTTATTGTTCCCAGTTCGGAGTTCTCCGAGGTACTATTTTATTTTTACGAACCCTTGGCCACGGTGCGCGCATGAAGACGAGAGAGGCTCGTGAGGCGGCGTCTGTCCTTGTCATATGACCGAGGCCCAACAGTAGCCTTTGAGGAAGGAAAACAAACAAAACAAAAAATCCTAACAAGTCAGGAATACTCTCACTTGTCTTTTACTCATGAAATACACTGAGGTAAATCAGTAGGAGAGGTCACACTTCTTAAGTTACTTTAAATCCACAAATTTTCCCCTATGAGCTGATTTAATTTCCCTTTAGGATTTAATGGAATCTGTTAAATTTAATGAAAGATTAGGTGTAGATCCCTGGCTGCCATCCATATGATCACTTCCTGGTTTTCTCAAAAACAACTAACCTGTCAGTCTGACTCAACCTATTCATGTGACTTCCTTGAACTCACATCTCAGGACACAAAAAGGCATCTCAGGTTAGGTACTGTAGAACAAAAATGAAAGTAAAATAATTAAGCTACTTGAAACCAGAAAGTATTTATTAGGAGGTGCAGTGGAGTTTCAAGCCTTTAGTAATAAATCATCTCCCGGCATCAAAACTTTATTTCTCATGCATATCATCTCTTTACTAAGACTTAAGACACGTTATCTCTTCTGTAGGTTTATTTCTGCTAATACTTCTATATTTTTTGGTAAATATTCCCTTTTTCTTGCAGTTTTGCCCTAATTCTGAACTTCCTCTTCTGACTATCAAATGTTTTCATCATTAGAACCACATTCAGCACCACAAACAGCTGAGTCATACACACAAAAGAAGTATAGAGTTTAAAAAAACAGCTCCCATTTAACAGTTTGTTTCCAGCTGCCTGTTCAACATGAACATTACGTGCAGAATATCCTCGAAGTATGATAGGGCTCGCTTTTATCTCTAAAAGCGCAAGGAGGAAAAAAAAGGTGCATTTGTTGATCCGTAAAATACATTTTTTAGAGACACAAATAGGAGCAAAGCCATTATTTCCTTGAGGCGTTATTAAAGCATATTGAGGACATAAAACTTTAAAACATACATCATAAACGCCACTTTGATGGTCATTAAAAGCAGCACGATTGCTTAATTTGTCTAGAATCAGACTTAAACAAGTGTTTGATGTATTAAAAATGAAAACGGGTTGAAAAAAGAAAAAAAATTATAAAAGCTGGAGAGTTTCATTTGAGTCCGCAGAAACAAAAAGCTCCAACAGGAGCTGAGAACTCGGCGCAGTTCCTAACTTCACCACACGGTGGCAGCAAATCACACAAACTGAATTTTTTTTGCTTGTTWACCCACCAATCTGTAAACAAAACACAACTTAGACATGAAAAATAAGGGGGACGGATTATTAATATTAGAAGAAAAGAAGCTGATAAATAACTTTGATACTGACAAGTGTTTTATTAGTATCACAGACATGGAGACAGAGCCGATAAGAAGCCGCTGTGAGCTCTGATGAGACCAATGTTGTTCAGAAGGCATTTTAAGACCAAGAGTGGAGTTGAGGGGGAGGGAGGATGGTGTTATAGCTGAACCCATACAATCAAAAAGGTGGTAACGGAGAAGGGAGGGGGGTGCAAATTTGAGTCGAACAGAAAATCTGCAACAAAACAGGAGGAAATTAAGTGCAATAGCCTTTAGATGAAACCAAGACCAAATGACCAAAAAAAAAGGGGGGGGGGGGAAAGAGGGGCAAAAAGTCATGACTGTAAAATTCATCATATATTGTGATAAACAATCAGATATGTAAACAGCGGCACGGCAGTCCACTTCTCGTTGAGCTGTTCTTTTTTTTTTTTTTGGTCTTATCACAAAAGGTGGAGTTTGATTTTTTTTTTGACTTGGAGAAAAAAAATTATGTCGATGTTTTGTTGCAAGCAAAGTTCATCAATAASATTAATTAAATAAATCCATTCTCGGGGAGAAAAACAAGTACTTGAGGAATAAATCATTCAGTGTAGGGATTATAAAAATAGAACATAAAAGGGGGTAAAAAGTTTATTTTTTCCTAACTCGTTCTCTCAGAGGATGAGACAGATCGATGAGTTCTCAGCAGCAGCAGRAGTGAAATGATGATCAAAAAGCAGGAAAAAATATTGTTTTTGTTGCTTCTTCTTTAAAACGTCTCCAATCAATCTGAAAATTCTCCACTCACCCAGTCAGTATCAGGAGCTGTAAGGCAGAGAGGCTCCTTTTTATGTTTTGGGGGAAAAAAAARAAAAAGATTGAAGAAGGTAAGAGGAAAAAACTGGCTCCCTCTCCTTTCCCCAGTAGTTTATTTATTTTCCTTTCCGCGGGGGTGATCCCGTACTGTTCATCCCCAGTTAGGCGCTCGCCCCTAACCTCGTCTCCCAGAGAGATGTCTGAGAGAGGGCTGGCGGGTCGCCTGGGTGGGAGCGGAGGGCAGGGAGGGGACCAGCAGCAGAGAGAGGAYGAGGCTGATCAACAACACCTCTTCTGTTCGGCCGATCACCAGAGCCGGTGCTGGTGGAGGTTTCGACTGAGGACGGAGCGGACGTCAGCGGTGAACCTGTGGGACACGGAGCAGCAGGTGGAGAATTAATGACAATCTGTCAGCTGATGGTTGCAAATCTCATTTTCCTCTTTAGCCTGGTTAGCATTAAGCAGGCTAACTACAGCAGTGTGCAGAAAACAGCTTATTTCTTTATAATTTACTTCCATTAAGTCAAAGTTTCTTCTGTACCTTTAAAGTAGTCTAGAACAAAACTTCTTGTTTTCTGTCTTTTCATTTTTCGTGGGATAAATTTTTTTCCTTTTTAACCCTTTTCTGCCCAATTTTACCTGACCACAGCAGCATATTGTGCTGTATGTGCCTAAAAAATAGGGAATGTATGGAAACACTGGACAAAAACTATGATCTTGTGGCAACAAGAACTTTTTTTTAATCCAATGTCAGCGTGAAGAAATGCAGGAAAAAAGTAATGTCAGAGCTAAAAAACTAATCAAAACTAAAACAATCTATATCAGATGAACAATACCTGAGAGTCATGTCTTTAAAACAAGTGGAAATTTTCAACAAAGACATGAAACAGTCCGTTCTGCCTCTGTTGATTGTTTCTAATAAAAAAGTATTTAAAGGGATCCACGATTAGTTGTAACATTAGACTTTATTTGATAAACATGTATTTTAACTGTAAAATAAAGACTGTAAAAATACTGTAGGTTGTTTAGTTTTTATAATTTTTTAAAATATATTTTAACACGGACGGAGTCATTTTATTTACACACAAAGCATTCTGGGTAAATGATGACGTGGATAGGTCCTCGGTGCGAGCGAGCTATATCCACCCTCAGCCTGTCAGCCTTTGTGCTAGCGCCGAGCTAATACATTTATATGGTGATAGCGTTGGGGCTAATGCTAAAGCTAACAGGCTAAGCT